TGATCGACACCTGTCTACGACTTTGACGCTGTACGGTTCTCTGACTGTCTGACAGCTTGTGCTGCTACAGCTTGTGCTGGCCCCACGTGTGAAAAAGAGTGCAATGCATGCAATGCTTGGTGATTCAGTAGAGCACGCGGCAATAATTATTATTATTGATAGTTATTATTGTTATTAATTGTTTTATCGGAGCCTGCCATGCCTTCGAGGTGTCCCTAACATTCCCTAACCAACTTAAAACTTACAAGAGCGTGGTCTGCAGTCCATTGGCGACCTTTGACGGGTTTTATCTGTGTTCGGTCCTAAAGGTTTTGAGGGATCACGATGTCAGCCCATTATGGTCTATGCCGACAGGCACGTAGATTTGCCAATGCAGTTTATTTGATCTAAATTTTCACGCCGCAGGTCCTGTACCCTGTGACCGCGGAGATGCAGTTGTGGACGGCCGAACAGTTCGGCCCTGTGATCCCCATCGAACTTTGGCTGCAGACTACAGCCACATCCCGTCGACAGAGTTGTTGAATCGCGATGCAGATGTATTATACGTTTACATGTCATGAGTCATAACATATATATATATATATGATATGATATGATATGATATGGGTTTACACATACATACAAGCTATAATAAGTATAAAATATATGCATTTAGATATACACACATATGTAAACATACGTAAAGGTAATTGAACACACAAGTAAATAAATTGATAAACCGATGAAAATAAGATAAGTAAATACAAGCATGTATAGAAATTCACTGGTATAGTATAGTCTAGGAAAGTAAAGTATAGGATACTACGTTATAGCATATTATTATAGTGTATTAGATTGTGCAGCTTGGGCGATCCGCTGAGGCCCCATACGACAGCATCCAGGAGCCTATCGAATGGCTGAGAAAGCAAAACGGCGGCAAGAAGCATAGACAGGCGCTGCAGCTTCTTTCTGTTGCACCCTGTGGATATGCTGCTTGAGCTGTGTTCCTTTGCTTGCGGATTCGCGCTCGCATCTCAATCTCCGTACTCAGCTGATCTGCAGCTTGACGTGTCTTTTTCCAGCATGACAGCGGCCAGCGTTTGATTCCCGATGATGTCTCATTCGCCAAACCGCTATTCTGCATGCAGACCCCGCAAGCCCTCAAAGTGACAATGCCGTCAGGGTACCTTGAGCCGCCCTTGCATCGCCGTAGAGCTGAACTCCCGAGCTCAGGATGCATTTTGGCCAGCAGACCGCCATCTTCACTTCGCAGGACGATCTGCAGACTACGGTAGGCGGTGTAGAGCGCCCTCCCTCGATGAAGCCTCCGAAACGTTTGCGTACCGGAGGATGGGGCCGCCCCGCCCTCTGCTGAGTTCGCAGAGCTCTTGGATGCCGCTGGGCCAACGATGAAAAGAGTCGAGAATGGGCCGTTCGGGGGAAACCTGTAACTGTACCATGTGCGGGTTGCTGATGGTCTAAGCCCAGGGAATTGGTGGAGGTTGTCGTGCTTTGAAGGGAGGAGTTGGGGAAGGCCGCGAAGGAGAAAAGTAATCGGATTTGCTGTCTTGAGCAGAGTATTGAGTGATTCTTTGGTCACTGCGAAGTGAGTAGACCCTAGAGCAATGCTGGTATCTCCAACCACCTTATCTTCAAGTCCCTGACAGACGGTCTCACGAACAAAAGTCCCTTCGAGTTCACCGTGGGCTGCAGCCCTTAGGTCGGAGTTTCGAGTACTGTAGATCCCGCCAGTCGAACGAGGCATCTTAGCATTTGGGACTCTATAGGACCCTGACCAAGACAGTAACGTTCCCCGTTTTGGTTCGAACTGGCTTTCTGTTGGTTTTGAACTCAGGCGTTTCTAAATCAGCTTCACCCCTTTCTCCAGCCTTTTCGAGATTTAGGAGCCACCCTAAACCCTAAACCCTAAACCCTAAACCCTAAACCCCAAACCCTAAACCCAACCCTGCATCCCTGAAGCTGAATCCCACCGCTGCCGAGATGTGTGCGCTCTGTACCTGCCGGGTGAACATCAACGCGCAATGCCAGCCCGGGGCCCCGTCCGAAGCCAGGCCTTGAGGTTGGACTTCAGTACCCAGAGAACCCAATACCCCTTTATTACGGAATATACCTTAAATTATATGGGCCTTAGTATTATGAGTTAAGGTATATTCCTTAATTAAGGGGTATTGGGTTCTCTGGGTTGGACTTCAGTAATCTGGGGGCCTCAATAGTTTAGTTACCCATACTATTTTGCGGGCTCCTTATTCTAATCATAGTATAATGGGTCCCAAATTTCGAAACCCTATTCTAATGATTAAGGCCTCTATAGTCTCTTAGGCCTTTTGAGGCTAAGGATTAGTGAACAAGGTAATGTCACTGGAGAGTCAATGGTGATAACCTGGGCGCTAAGTCTTTCTTGGGAGGTCCTTTGCAACCTTTGTTCGAACAGGGGCCGACGTTGCGACGAAATTTTCTACCATGACACCTGCACTGCAATTCCTCCAGAAGCTACAGCTCATGCCACATGAGGGTCGGGTGTGAGGCAAATGGCCATAAGATAGGAAGCTGACACGAGGAATCGCCATGTTCTTGCGGTCTTAGTTTCACGTTTGTTCATTCCCCTGTTACTGTCGCGTGTCTTAGCTCATCGCTGTCGCTGCCCTCTTCGTGCTTGCCTGCTCCAGCCTTGACTTGAGATTCTGTCCGTGAGAATCTTGGAGGATGCAAATGGGAAGACTCCCACATGTGAGAGACTTCTGAATTACATGGGCTCGGGAGGATTCATTGGTTTTGGAGCCGGGACAAGATGGTTCCTCTAGCCGGCCAGGCGTGGACCAGACGTGTATCCGTTTGCGGGCCGCCGCTCTTCAGCCTGGGCCTCGGCTAAGGGTTTACAGGCTGCTCCTTGAGTGGTCCTGGGAAGGGCTTTGGGGTGGGCTGCACCGCATCGCAGCCCCCTCAAAGAGCAAGCATCCCGTAACAAGGCCACAGATGCATATGAAACTTGAGGAGTCACGCTTAGAGAAGCTTGCATAGGCTTACAGGCATGGGACCACGAAGATGCCCAGCAGCTGAAGGCGATGGGAACCATCTCGGTAGAGGAGGCAAGCGGCTACACGGAACATCTCGCCGTCCTGAGCGCTTTATGGCCCGGGTTCACTGACGCCGGTTCAGGATTTCAGATAGTTTTCAGGACTTCGGCATGTGCAAGTTGTTCGCACATGCGTGGCCACTGATGCAGTGGTTTCTGCCGTAATAGTATGCCCATACAGTATGGTGCTGGTATGTAAGGAGTCTACGGGAGACAGGGTTCGTTGCGATGAGGGATCCCGGCACGAGCAGGTGCTGCGAGCTGTTAGCGTGGACACCATGATTGCCTGCAAGAATCCGGAGGCCCGGAACCGCATCCCTTCCCAAGCTTTGTTTTGTTGGAAGGCGGGTGCGCACTTGGGGGAATGGAGTCTCGTACTTGTCCACTTGGATTTGCAGCATGACTTGTAGCGTTGTTGCGTGAAAGCCACTTCATGGGGAAGCCATTTCCGTATCTTCTGCGCCTGTTTGGAGCCCCAAAATGACCAACCCACGGAACCTAAAACTACAGCCCTAACCATCAGGAGATTGTTCTAAATGATGGGCCCCATCAAAAACCTCAAGGCCTTCAGAACAAGAAAATGAGTCTCAGTTCGGGCAGGTCCTGAGGCGTGCCGCGCAGGGCTCGAGTGTCTTCGCACGCTTTTGAGGCGAGGATTGGGCCACTCAGACTAGGATGAGTAATGATGAAAAGGAACGGCTAGGCGGCTAGGTATGGCCTTGCATTTCTCAAACCGCTCATAGTATTCTGCTATGTAACATCTGTATGTATAAATAGAAAGTAGCGGCAAAAGGAGCGATGGTCATGCTGGGGAAGCTCGAAGCAAGAGTAGCGCTGGATGCAAGCATTGTGACTTGCGTCGTAGCAATACTGGCAGCCACAAGAGTATTGGTGCTCTTAAACTCTAGGGGATCTGTGTTTTTTAGGAGTTTGCCTTAACCTAGCATATCGAAAGCCTGGTTCTAAGTACCCAAGCGTCAGTGCACTTTCGATGTCTTCTTTTTGCGCTTTCTTACAGAAGCTTCGGTGGGCTCTCGAACCACGAATCAAGACATCGAGCGGCTAGGTTTTGGGCTTGATTTTGCAAAGCAACTTCTGGGGCTTGAGCTTATCGGCCAGTGTGCGATTCGCATTGCTGCTGGTGCGAGAAATTGGCCCAACGCACGATGAGATCCGTACAACAAGCGAACTGCCTTTGGAGTTCTTGATGGTGGCTGAAGTTCATTTAGATCCCATTCTCACTTGCGCTCTCGCGGCTGTAAAAGCTGTGTGGTAGGCTACCAACGTGGATACCGGGTGCCTGAGAAGCTGCTTCGCTCAGGCCGCCTGATGCCAAAGGGCGACGGCTCCAGCAACTTCGCGGAGCTTCGTGGCCTACGCACAAATGGGGCTGTGGGGTTTCAGGCAGCTCCTTTCCAGAAGCCAGCGTCCGCTGAGTTTTCCTCTAATTCGTTTCCTTTTCCCCTGCAGTTTTCACACCCGTGACAGCGCGTCACGACTGCAGCTCGTGCTCCAGCCAGGCAGATTTGGCGAAGATTCCAAATCTTTTGCCTCGAAGCAGCAAGCTTAAGTAGCTGCTAATCCTGTGTAGATTGCACTAAGACATAGACTGTACCTCTTGGCACCCATATGGAATGGGTGCCCCCGTGCCTGTTCAGGCCCCACATCGTTGGGCTGGCACAGCCAAAACTGGATACGAATGTTCACGAAAGGTGTACATCTGCTCGTGTTCCTGCATTGACGGCAGGAACATCTGGCTGCTCTTGCATGATGCAGTCGAGTAGGCGGGTAGGCTCCCTCAATCGGTAGCCAGTCCTGTGTTGAGGTCTCCCTCGCGCTTTGTTGGCATGGTGATGGTGATGTCCCATGCTCTGCTGCAGTCTTTCCTCCTTAAGTCGGTGGTCTTATCCACGGCAGTCCCTAATTCCAGATCTATGTCTCTTCGTGTCTCCACGAATTCGGCTTTCACTGATTGTGCCCTTGCCATCTTGTCAGCAGCGTGGTTCAGAACTCTATGCATCCATCCGGGGAGTCATTGTGATCAGCAGGCTTTGCAAGATCTGCAAGATCTCTCCGAAAGAAGCTGCAACCATGCTGGCATACCCCATGATCGCTGAGCATCTGCACTGGAGGCATACAATTAAAGGAGTAGTGCACGCGCAGCGCCATGGCGGACGCATGTTCGGGCGGAGAAAGCCAGTCCGGGCCTTGAATCAATGTTCCATTATAGTTTTTTTTCTAGTCGAGTGTCGTCTAGTTTGGAATAGTATAGCATAGCATCGCATAGTATAGCATAGTAGAGAATCCGACGTCAAATTGCTCGAGCCTGCACGCTGATCCCTGCTGAACTTCCAACTGGCATGGTGTCTGGGAATCAGCACCGGATCCTTCAACCCTAATCCCCAAACCCTTTGAGGCGTGCATTGTACTACATAAACTTACTATACCTAGAGCTGCAGCAGAAACTGTAGCCATAACTAAACCCTAAACCCTAAACCCTATAACTATGACTATACCATAACTATCGAGCCGAAGGTGCCTGGGCTCCCCGGCATTGGCCCTCGCCTCCACCCTTCGAGGGCACCAGCGACCTATGCTCGCAGTGCTTTGGGAGGACTTCTGTTTCTTTCTAGTAGGTGTTTTTATGAGGGGAAGGGAAAACTGATTAGAAAATATCTTCGGGGCTCTTGGGGGTGCAGTTCAGGATAGTTGAAGCTGCTCGGAAGGTTTCTGCCAATTCCGTACCTTTAGGCCGTGTGTGTGAGGGGTTGAGGCATGTCTTATCCGATAAATCCTCGTCGTCAACGAAGCAAGCGGTCTAGCGGGTAGATGCCGATAGATTCGATGAACAAATGCTTCCAGGATGTTCCTTTGTCTGGCACTCAGTTGGATGCTTGAGCTTCTGTCGTGGACGTGGAGCCTGAGTCGAATGTTAACATGGCAGCAGTAGGCAGCTGAAGAAGTTGCTGCTTTAGGGACGTCCATCCCCTTCAGCCTCCCTGTAACAGAAATCATGCGACCAGGCCGGCAAAGGAAACTACTTTCTGGGTGCATGCCTCAGCGGATCTGCTGAGATCTCTCTCTATCTACTCTCTCTTCCATTTCTGGCAGTGTTTCCATTTCGTTATGACCACGATGCATGCCCGGAAGAAGGTCGCGTCGGCATGTGCTACCTGCTACCTGACAACAGCAAGCTTTGATTCCCCCAGCAGCCACACTGGTGGACGCCGAGTCAGAGTCAGAGCCTAGCGTCTCTACACTACAGCCGGACTCCGACTCCTGACCTGAGAGACCCGTGCCCACTGGACAGCTGCTCTGCCCTGCCAACTCGCGTAAAGGCCTGGCCGTCTCAGATGGCGCAAGCTGTGATCGCGGCCGCTCCCGCGGAAAAGGCGCAGGGCGTTATGGATACCATCATTGAAATTGATGAGTCGAAGTTTCAATGACTCAATGTCGCCTAATGATATCCTTCCGACCTCAGCGCCCCTGCCCGGACCTGCTTGCTTCCATTTGGCGATGTTCCGAGAATCCTTGGCCAGGAAGAGCTTGGACCCTTTGCCTCCACGTGCTCGCCTCAAACTGCCTCCTTTTGTCTTCACAGGAGTTTGGAGCACCCAGGGCCGTTTCGATACTTGGACTCAGGCTTGCGAGCTTTAGCAGCAGCAGATCTCTCGAACTGAGGATCGCTGGACTTGTTGGACGCGAGAAGGCTCGTAGAGCTGCCTCGTTAGAAGCACCCTGCACACTCGTAGATGTAGATGCAGGATTGAGACCTGCGCTTCAAGAGGTCCTGTGATGGCCTTCACGGCACCTGCTGAGCGAAGCTACATCGTAGCACTGTCTTCTATCATACATGGAGCCGTGCAATCCAGCAAGTTCGCCATACTGGCGGCACATTAGCTCGTGCTAGACGAAAGAACTCCGGCACTGACCAGTGCTACGCTGTTCGGCAGCAGGCTACTCGACAACTCGTTGCTGTGCCAGTAGAGTTTGCAAAGTTGTACACTTCTAAACGCTTCAGCCGCGCTGCAATGTATCGCGTGCCTCAGTCTTGTAGCAATCTGCCGCTATGTTATGTCGTGAGAAGTCGAATCGTTCGTCTGCATCATGATGTGCTGTCGGACAGTCTTTTGAGTAGGCTGTCCCACCACCACCTCCAGCAAAACCCACCTCCACAACCAACCATCTCTGACATAGACACAGGCATATCTCACCACCGTTTTGAGGCCGCTGATCTCCTCGCCGACATCGTGGGAACCTCAGATTCGCTCACACTTTCACGCGCAAACCGGTCCTGGGACTGGTGCAGCAGTGACCTCAAGAAGATGGCAAGCCGACTGTGTAGTTCTCATGCCTTGAGTCTCAAACAGGATGTGTGTGGATTCCTGGATAGCCGAACATGCACAGAAGCGAGAGGGCAGACACGCAAAGCTGCCTGCTGCTAAGCAAG